AAGTTTACTATCAATTTTCTCAAAAACCGTACAGTAATTTTGGCTGTGGATGACAGGGTATAGAGTGGGGGTCACCCAGAGTCAGAATCCAGTGAGATATCTGCATCACCTCTTACAGTTTTCCTGTAATCTGAGGTCAAAGATGAGGATATTAAAAGTACAGTAGAGTACATTGGGTAAATTTTATTGTTAATTTTCTCTGGATCATACAGTAATTTTTGCTGTGGATCACAGGGGAAAAGTGGAGATACACTAAAACTGGGAGTGGATTGTGAAGTAAAATAGTGCCAGGACACAAAAGACTGCGTTTCTAAACCGGGCTACACCCATACCGTAATATGCGTAAGAGTAGTGCAACCACATTTTCGGTGCGGCTGGCGGTGCGGCTAGCTTGCGTGTGTGTGTGTGTGTGTGTTTTAAACAACTATAAAACATTGTTTTGAAAGCAAAAAAATTTCGGATTGCAAATATGTTGCCCGCTACACCCCAACATCACACTGCTCAATCATAAAAGTCAGAATGCTAATGAATCGGGTGGGTGGAAAAAAGACAGAACAAAGATGTTTTCCTCTAAAATTTGTAACTTTTATTTCTTATTCCAACTGTGCTTATTCTACCATAAACAATAGGCCCTTCTCTATACCCCCTGTGCTCATTTTCTATGCTGCTGCTCACTGATCATCACTTCTCTTCTTAACCTAGCTTCTAGGGTTAAGAAGAAAACTTATTATTTTCCAAATATTTATGCTATAGCTCATCAGTTTTATCAGAAAAAACATTTCCTTTGCCACCTTGTTCGGACACCTAACAGTACACCCAGTACTCCTGTCTATTTTCTTTCTAATCTTTCTCACTATCTCACTTTGTCTTTAATTCAGAGGGAAAGTTGATCCCTCTGAAGTTGGTCCACATGTTTTTAACAGATTTGTTATTTTTTTACAAACATTACCCAACACGTGTGGGTGTTCCAGGAAATTTTGCAAGAGTAGAGTGAAAATTGTAGCTTAAATACCATAACTATTCATAATTGCAATACACACAAGTCTTAGTTTTACTTACATTTTTAATTATTTGCTCACTTTTTTTATTCGTCTTTCTTTTTTTTCTTAGAAAACACACTTCAGCAATTGAAACTCGTGTCCCGAGACTAAAAACAGCAGTTACACGTGCCACGTTTTAAGGTCCACAACATCTTCTGCTCCTGTCTTCATACAGTTTCAACTTTAGTTTGCATTAACTGTAATTTGTTTGAAAAACAGTCAAAACCATCATAGTCTGGCATTTTTTGAGACTGACTGAGATTGAGAAGTGCTTTTATTTGTCAGTTGCAGTTGCCCACAACTGAGATGACAGACCGTGCCAAACGAACATACAATACACAAACATCACATTGGGGAGACAGGTCAGGCTAGGTAGAAAAAAGGAAAAATAACGAAATGTGTAACACGGAAGGGCAATCTAGGGGAAAAAAAAGAAATTCTGCTCATACTGGTCCCCAAAAGGGAGTCAGTATGAGGAGAAAAAGCACATAAAGCATAAAGCACATAAAGAAAACACAGACATCACGACACCTTAACACAGTAAAACACAGACAAGCAACATGGGAAAATACTCCAGTGTGAACCGCTGCATCTGGGACGCTGCAATCTCACGGTTGCGCCTCCGTCTGGCCTACTTTTCACATCGGATGGGAGGAAAGCATGGGAGGCATTGAATTTGGGCAGGGGAGGGTGGCGGTGAGGGCATATCAGTATCAGTGTACGTGTGTGCGTGTGTGGGGATGTATATCTTGTGTTCAGCCTGAGAGAGTGTCCTTTCACCTATTAGGCATAGATCAACAGTTCGCAGCCTACGCAGGTGGCCTTGAGGAATAGGGCAAGAGAGTCAGTTCATTCTTGTTATCGTATCTCTGGGAAGAATTGTTGTTGTTCTCTTCGGCGTCAACCTTCAAGCGTTGTCCAGCTGGTGCCTTTTTAACCTGTTACCTGTTAAATGAAGGTTTA